ACCCTCCTCCCTGACTTAAAGGTGGGTGTGTCCTCTACCTGTGACCCACACACAGTAAACCCTCCTCCCTGACTGAAAGGTGGGCGTGTCCTCTCCCTGTGACCCTCACACAGTAAACCCTCCTCCTTGACTGAAAGGTGGGCGTGTCCTCTCACCTGCTGAATGGGGCTCTGAGCCTGGAAGAGGATGCGTCGTCCCAGCAGCTCTGCAAAGATGCAGCCCACCGACCAGACGTCGATGGCCGAGCCGTAGTGCCGGCAGCCCATCAGAACCTCCGGGGCCCGGTAGTACTGAGTCACCACCTCCTGGGTCATGTGACGGGTCGGGTCGGGCTCCTCCACCCGGGCCAAGCCGAAGTCACAAATCTAGAAACAGACAGAATCACGTTCAGGAAGTTACTTTTAAACAAGGACTTGGATATCAACAGGTTTTTGGATATGAACTAATATGTTTTAGAGAAGCTGTTTGGTGATTTCAGGTTTCTGAGCGTTGTTTTTAAACGTTTACCTTGAGTAGACAGTTGCTGTTGACCAGCAGGTTTCCAGGTTTGATGTCTCGGTGCAGAATCCCAGCAGAGTGCAGGTACTTCAGACCTGAACCACAAAACCCGTCAGCAGCAGTTCATCCTCTGATTCCACTCAAACAACCTGCCGAGCAGCAGCACGCTCTCTCTACAACACTGTCCTCTCCCTCGTGTGTGGAGATACATACAGAGATATTTTTGGGAAATTATTATATATACAGATATTTTTGTACAAAAAACATGTTGGATTTTTAAAATGATTAAATTTATCTCTTTAAAACACATGTTGACGTTTGGACTTTAGAAACAATCCTTCAGCCGCCACTGGAATCTAAATGTACAAAGATAATACTGATAACATGAACGCAGCCTGATGATGATCAACGTAGAACATTATTAATACACATGGAGGAAGAGAAGCCGCTCCACAGACATGTGATGTTCATGTAGAACCTGAATGTGGAACGTGAATCTCTGTAATGAGTATAAATACCTCGGAGGATCTGGTAGAGGAAGACCTTGATGTGGTCGGTGGTGAGCGGCTGAGGAGACACGATCACTTTGTGGAGGTCGCTCTGCATCAGCTCTGTGATCACGTAGCTGACCAGAAGTTCAGCAAAATAACCTCGTTCAAGGAGACAGAGAGTCGTATCGTGTTGAGATATCGTATATATATACAGTGGGTACGGAAAGTATTCAGACCCCTTTAAATTTTTCACTC